GTCTTGGAAATGCCATCTCCTGCATTTTCTGTAGGACATTTTCAGTAAACAAATTTTCAGGAAAATGCAGTAATAACATGTATTTTCTGTCTGATCTACTTTTGAAGGAAACGTGGATGAGCTTTAATCATAATATAGTTTGACAAGTTTTACACACAAGGCCAGTCCTGTTGGCTGATGAATGTAACGTGGTCTATAATATTTAAGAAATGGTAAACATGCAGCCTGCAACCATCAAATTTGGATACACTCTGACCAATCAGAGCACATGCTTTTGTTATGTTATAATATGTATTGCAGTAGCATTAACTACCTGTATATCAAAGTACCTTTAATTTGCATCCGGTCTCCTTAAATTTCATTGCAAGTCTTGTTCATGACCAGCCCCGGTGGTAGGGAGGGTCGACGGTACTTCCTTATAAGAGGCTAATGGGTATGTACTGATGCCCCCGGGTGACCAGCATTGGTTAACAATAATTATTATTAGGTTCAAGACAAGGTCAAAACTCAAAAACTGTCCTGGAACAGAGCAATGGATGAAGTACGAGCAGACAGGCTGATTGAAAAACATAGTGACAACTCATTGCTAGTGATAATACATGAATGGCCACAAAAGAAAAAATACAAAGAAAAACCAGAGTTGATACCAAGCTTAGAATATCTGGTAAGTTTGTATGCATGCTTGTTGTTACCTGAGTTACCATGACAGAATTGTTCAAAATTGTTGTGAAAGAACGATTAATTGTTTGGGATTTTTTGGGAAATCTCTGTCTGCTTTCTTGGACGGATTACTTCATACACTTTTTTGTTTCATTTTTTACCAGTGGCTACTCCTGTAGAATTTAACTCTTAGTTTCTCAGTTATTTTCCCAAATTTTGACCACAACATCCCTTAAGTTTATTAACTGGAATTTAAATAAAAAATGTCTAATGGAGAAATATCAATTTGATGTTTTCTTCCAGATCAGCAGACTCACAGAGATCATTCTTGAGAGGGACACCAATGAACACTATAAATATTTCCGTGTTCCTTCAAAAGATAATCCAACTCGTCCTACTCTTCTGCATCTTGCTGCAGAGCAAAACTTCTTACATGTTACCAAGTCATTAGTGGACCAGTACCCAGGTCTTATGTATCTTTGGACCAAAGAGCAAGATGATATGCCTAGTTATTTACCCGTTGAATTGGCCTTGAAAAAATACAAGGATGATACAGCTGCTTTTTTGGTGTCCCGCATGAGGCATGATCGGTAAGTTGTCTGTTTTTTTGTGGTGACCTGCATTGATTTTCGTGACTGTGTTTGTTAACTGAAGTATATAAAGACTTAAAAAATATAAAAAATAGCCTTATAGCGATTTAAAGAAAAGTGGGTGGAGAATGGTAGAGAGATATCCATCTTATGCAGGAGGTGTCTGTTAAGAGAAGGATGACTGCTTATGCAGACACATGGGAAAAATGTAAGATTTTAATTGGATGGCTGAGGTGTACCGTGTATGCTTTGAGTTTTAATTAGTCATAAAAAGGGACTGGCCGGCCATAAGGCAGTTTTCACCATAACAAAAAAAAGTTCACAGCTTATAAGCAATGTTCTGCTCTTGGTTCACAAAACAAACTTGTGCTCTAACCTTTTTGTGCATTTTCAGGGTTCAGAAACTGTTTCTTTGCAAGGAAGATGAAGAGCAGACTCCTATGAAGTTTTATTTTGGAGATTTCATCAGCTGCCATGACCCTCAATCAGGGGAACCTGTCATGAAGGTATAATGCAGCTATAAATATATGTGTATGAAAGGGGCTCAGGTGTCACGGCTGCTCTCACAGTTCATTGAGTTAATTCATTAGGGAGCTTAAGCAAAGGCATTTTTGAGGGATGCACATTGACCAGAAGTGAGGTCTTTTTTATTTTAAAGTACCTTTTGTCGCTGCCAAAATTGTTTTCGATACAGGAAGCATCATTAGTATTTGTCAGGCATTGTTGCTAATATAAATTCATTATGCCATTGTAGAAAACAGTGCTGGCAGTATTGGACAAGCATATAAGTCCCCGCTGGCCTTATCTCCCGGATAGAAAAGAAGACGATGAAAATGATGATGAAATTGAGCGAGCTATAAGTAGCGTCCCCGATGATCCCATTAACTATGATTTCTTTTACCACATACTGGAAGCTGATGACCAGGGAAGACAGCCTAAGATTGAAGTGGCAACAGAAGTGGATGAACATGGAAATGCACTCAAGATTGAAAGAATTCCTAATCCAAAATTTAACTCCAAGTCGCAGTCGTGTCTGAGGCGCATAGCAGAGAGCGGAAATAAGGTTTGTAAAATCAAGGAAAAACAAATGCGGCGCTTATTTGAGGGCGGCAAACAAGAATAGCCCACATTCGATATATTAAGATTCTGACTCAATGGCTTTAGGGATGAAATTGCAATTTTTTCACGACTTCATTGTCTCCCAGAAGAGGCTTAAGCACAAAGAAAACCAAACCATATATAGAAATATGACCCAAAAGCCTCAGAGTCATGTTAGATTTTTAACCCTTTCACTGCCAGAGTGCTTGATGGAGTTTTGTAATGTGACTCCAACTTTTGAGTCTGCGGACAAAATCCTTTAATGTGACCATTCAAATGAAAGCTCTCTGCCTGTACTTTCACATGGTGCTGTTTGTTTTTTAAAATTTCACAAAAGTTGGCAGTGAAAGGTTTAATATATCAAATGTGGGCTACTGTTTTAACTACAGTATTTATTATTTTCCATGTTAGGGACACGGCGCTAATTTAGGGTGATGCTTGTGAACCTTTTTTTTTTTTTTTTTTTTTTTTTTTTTTTTCCCCTTTTGGGGGGTTTTTTCGGGAAGGGGGGTTTTTTTTCTTCGAATTTTTTTTTTGTTTTTTTTTATGAAATTTAAAAATTTCTTCTTTTTTTTACCCAATTTTCCCCATAGTTTTAAAAAATTTTTTTTTTTTTTTAAAACACAAAAAAACAAAAAAAAAAAAACATTTTCTTTATTT